TATTTATTAATTAGATATTAAATAAGTATAATAAGAGTAGCTTAGTACTTAATATTAAAGGTAGTGCTCTAAGAATACTAGTAAAGAAGTATAGTAATAACTCTAAAAAGATTATAAAGTACTTTCTTAGCCTATAAAAGCTAAGCTAACTATATAGTAATAAACTATACTAATAAATTAAGAAGGTAGCTAAGTTCTTTATAAAAGAGTAATACCTCTTTTAGAAAGTAATAAAGCTTTACTTTATGCGCTAAGTATTAGATAGAGAGAACTTATAAGCTACTATAATCTAGAAAGTTTATAAGTAGCTAGGCTATAAGAGTATCTAGACTACTTTTAAAGTATTAAGCTAGTAATACTAGTAGAAAGGTATATATTAATAAGTAGTAAAGTAGCTTAGGCTCTATAATATCTACTAGTAAATATATAGTACTAGATAAAAGGCTAAACTAGGCTTAATATACTTTTAAGCTCTTTAGATATAGTAGACTCTAGATATTACTTATATACCTAAAGTCTAAAACTAAAAGTATTTTCTAGTTATATATAAATATTTATTAGAATAGCTAAAAGTACGCGCTTTAATAACTACTACTTCTAAAGTAGTTATAAAGTTTATATATAAAGAGATTTACTATAGATAGAGTATACCTAAGAAGCTATTAGTAAATAGAAGTACTAAGAATAAGTTAGTAGTAGAAGCGCTTACTAACTAGTTTAGAATCTATTATATATAGGTATTAGTCTATAACTTAAGAGCTTAAGAGCTTATTAAAAGAAAATACTAAAGCTTTATCTATAAACTAGCTAAGCTACTAAAAAACTAGATTAATAATCTATTAGTAGTAATATAGATAGAGTAAGTGTTACTATAAAAACTACTTAGGTATTTACTAGCCTAGCTAGTACTAGAGTAGAACCTAGTATTACTAATTAAGCTTATAGTACCTACTTAGTAAAGCCTACTCTAGGCTAAAGTTAAGTTATAAAAAGAGCTAATTACTATTTATACTACGTAGCTATAGTTTTAGAAAAAGTATTTAAAAAAGATAGTTTATTATACTTAGCGCTTAAGATAAGAGGCTATTAAATTATATAATAATAGAAAGTTACTACTAGCTTCTTTATATAAAGAAGAGTTAGTATTAGTATAGAATACTATTAAGAGTATTAATAAGAGCGTAGTAAAAAAGCTTAGTAACTACTAGCTAAAGCTATATTAGGTATTAAAGGCCTAGTTTAATAAGAGCTACTATTACTTAGAGAATCTAAATAAAGTAGAGTTTACTAGTACTATAAGAGCTAATTAGCTAAAGTAGTTTAAACTATTATTACTAAATATAAAGAATAATATTCTTTAAAGCTAATTAAAGCTATATCTAGATACTAACTAGATCTACCTAGTAAGGCTATTACTATATAGAGCTATTAGTAGAAGAGCGCTAGCACTAAAAAGAGAGAAGTTAGAGTAGAAAGATAAAGAGAGAAGGTAGTTATAATAAGAAGTTAGTAAAAGAAGAAGAAGTATAATAATATTATAATATAAGCTTAGAGCTAAGTTTAGAGAAAAGTTAGATTCTAATTTACTATACTACTAATTTACTCTCTAAAGTTAGTCTAATACCTAATTAAGTTCTCTACTTAAGCTACTAGAGCTATACTAATAGACTACTACTAAATATTCTAAGCTAATATTACTAGAGCGCTCTTAAAGCTTAAAGAAAGAAGAACTAAAAAAACTAGAAGTATTAGAGCTATTAGTACTATAATAATAATAAAAACCTATAGAAAAAGAACCTAAACTACTAGTTAATAAAGAACTAGTAGCGCTACTTAAAAAACTAAAGTAAAAGAAACTTAAAGAACTAGTTTAAAATAAATCTAAAGAGCTAGTCTAAGATAAACCTAAAGTACTAGCACTACTATTACTTTAAGAGTAAATTAATAAAAAAGTAAAGTTAAAAATACTTAAAGCCTAATAAGTATAATAAATAAGTAATATAATATTAGAGTACTAAAAGTAAGAAGTATAGACTATTACTAGAATCTTAGCTATAGAGAGTAAAGCTTAAAGTATAGAATTAGTCTTAGAGATATTAGCTATAGTTAGAGTTAGCTAAAGAAGATATAAAATAAAATATTATACTTACTATAGAAAAAGTATTAGAAAGTACTACTATTTAGCGCGTAGTTATTATAAGCGCTAAAGTTAAAAACTATACTCTAGTAATAGAACTAAGTATAGTTATAGAAGATCTATTAAGCTTAGGTAGACTAGTATTAGTTATAGTAGTAGTTACTAAAAAAGACTTAGTTACTAGTAGTAGCTTACTAGATAACTACTATAATAGTTAGCTAGTATAAAAAAAGTAGAAATAGAGAAGTATAAATAAGCCTTAATATTAGTACTATAATAGCTTTAATTTATACTTAGACTAAAGAACTAGTAGACTAAAGAAACGCGCCTATTCTTAAAGTAAAAAAATACTAAAGTTAGATAAACTTTATTATTATTTTTATAAATAGTAAGAATTTAGAAGTAAGAGCTAAGAGTAATACTCTACGCCTATAGCTACTAAATAAAATAAGCTAGTTAGCGTATAAAAGTAATATCTATAGTCTTAGTATTATAAGTATTAACTAGAGTAAAAGTTAGTTAAAAGTCTATAGTAAAGAGAGATTAGAGTACTTATAGTACTTAGTAAAGTAGGTAGTAGCTACTTAGATAAAATAGAGAAAGAAAAGTAAAGTAGTATTACTATTTTTTGCGTAATAGTAGTCTTTAGAAGAAGTATTCTAGTTAGGCTTCTTACTACTACCTCTATTACTACTACTACTACTACTACTAATAGAACTAGTTATATAGCTATCTAGAGCGCTATTAATAGTAGCTATAAGAAGTAAAGAAAAATTAAGAAGTAAAAAAGAGTTAGTAAAAAGCTAAAGAGGCTAGAAGAAAGTTAGAGTAGAAGAGTAGTAAGAAAAAAGAGTAGAAAAGAGAGTAAGAGACTACTAGTTTATATATAAGAAGAGCTACTACTAGTAGTTAGAGATTATAGCGCAAATTTATCTAGTAAAAGAGTTTACTACTATTATTAAGTAGTAAATATTACTATAAAGTTAGTACTAAAGCTAAATTAGGCTAGATTTAGACTATATAGAAGATAATTATTATAATTTAATATTATTAAGCTTATAGTAAGAGAGAGTAATATTACTATTAGAGAAGCTAGAGTTACTAAAAAAGCTTTAGATAGGCTACTTAAGAGAGCTAAGTAAAAAAGACTAAAAAAAAAAATATAGTATAGTAATTAGTTACCTAATTAGATTATATAATTAGAAGAAGAATAAGTACTTTAATAGCTCTTTAAAATAGAAGGTAGCTTCTTTAGATAAGAATACTACGCTAATTACTTATTACTACTTACTTTACTCTTCTATCTCTCTAATTATAAGTTAAATACCTTCTATCTCTATCTAATATCTTATTATACTATATTATATAAGCTACTTTATATTTATTAGAAGAGAGACTATTAGAGAGGCTATTTTAAAAGCTATTCTAGTAACTATAGAATAAGATACTATCTATATAATAAAGAATACAATCTAGACCTTCTACTCTAAACATGTACGTTCTAGAGCTATTAATATTTCTATTAATATTTCTATTATTCTAAAGAGTTACTTAGCTAGAGCAGAGCTCTCTATTATTTCTTTTTCTATTCTTACTTTTAAGAAGCTTACTAAGAAGATATATAATATATTCTATAGGTACTATTATTATATTTCTAAGAGCTAGGTAGAGAATTATTTTATTAGCGAGCTAACTAGAAAAGAGCTATTAATTATAATTACTATCTATATCTATAACTTTGTATATAGAGTAAAGCTAAGAATAAAGCCTCTACTATCTCTATATATAGAGTAGGCTATACTCTAGTAATATAGTACTATCTCTAGAATTCTTAGTATAGATAATAAGAAATAGAAGATAGAAGATTTAGCGTTTATAGCTTATCTTCTCTTACCTAATACTATTACTTAGATAGACGCTATAGTTACGTATTATAGTTACCTTAAATAAGACCTATTAGTAGTTATTACGTTAATATTACTAGAGAATAGAGATAAAGTTGTAATTAATAGCTAAGAATAGGTATAGCAAGTTCTATTAGTAGTATTTCTATTACTATATATTATATTATTTCTAGTTATTTCTAGTTATAGTATAAAGAAAGTTATATAGGTAAGTATAGAATAAGTCTATACTAAAATAACTATATTGCTATAGTAATATATACTAAATTAATATTAAAATTATTTAGTAGTTCTAAAAGAGACTAGCTTAAAGTCTTTTAATATCTTTTAATATCTTTTAACGTTATTTTACTATAAAGATAACACTAAATTAGGCTTAAGGCACTAAAAAAAAAAATAAGTCTATAGTAACTATTTAAGATTATAACTACTAGAATCTAACTTATATAAACTTTATAGTGTGTCTAAAAAGCTTTAATAATAAGATTATAATATTTTATATTGTCTAGTAATGTTAAAAAGGCTAATTTTAGGTGTATAATTAGTGTTTTTAATATACTTAGGCGATGTAGGGCACCCTCTCTAAGCTCTAAAAGTGTCGCATTTTTCCCGTGTAGGGCGTGCCTGTTGCCAAGATGCCGCGGAGGGTCCCATCGGAAGTACTAGCCCGGCACGCGTTTACCCGTCCGCCCGTTGCGTGTTCTAAACGAAGATATATCCCTGCTGTCATCCTTCGTCCGACTGGTGCAAACCCTTGAAGATGTTTAATGCTGCTGTGCCTGTGTTGAAAGGATCCTGTGTCCAAGACATCGGTAAACGGTCGTTCGACAGAAGCGGATTGCTGCCCGCTGCATGCACGTCCAGGTCGAGATCCTACGCACGATGGGAATGTATATATCCGCCATGAGCTGTCAGATGTTCTTGTCGCTCATCGCTCTTTGATCTTCCCATCAGCCAAGATGCTGGCTAAGTCTTTCACTCTTTCTTTAGCCTGTGCTGCTTTCGTGTCAGCACAGAGTGCATCGATCGCTGTCCCTCCTGCTGCCGAAACGCTCGCTGCGATTGTCACGCCTGCAAACCTCCCTCTTTTTGAAAGCGAAACGATCCAATTGACAGACAATGTCGTTGCTGCGCTTCGGAAGAATCCCGACTTTGCGGACTATGCTTCGCTTGTCGAATTTGAGGACAGCGCGAACTCTACCTTGTCGGTGAGAGGACGTCGCACTCGTAGGGCGCTTCGCTGCAAGACGATGCCTGGAGACGATTTGTATCCGAGCCAGGCAGCATGGGCCGATTTCGATAAACTACTTGGCAATGCTTTGGATAAGATCATTCCCATCGCTTCGCCGTGTTACAAGGATTCCGAGTATGACAATTACGATGCTGCCAAGTGCGCGAATCTGGTCAAGAACTTTGACGCAGAGGAAACATAGTATGTTCAATCACTCATACCATCCGTGCGATAGCTAACGATCTCAGCTACAACGACAACGGAGCCTTGATGAACCCCCTCTACTATGGAATGACCTGCCGACTCCCTGCATCGGGCGACTTGGCAAACGGCACTTGCACCCAAGGTGGCTACTCAGAGTATGCTGTAAAAGTCAGCAATGTCGCACAAATCCAGTTGGCTGTGAACCTCGCACGCAACCTCAACCTTCGTCTAGTCATTAGAAACACTGGCCATGATTACAACGGTCGCTCGGTTGGAAAAGGTGCACTCAGCATCTGGACCCATGGCTTGAAAGAGATCAAGTATGTCGAAGACTACGAGAGCCCCACATACAAGGGCCCTGTCTTCAAGGTTGGGGCTGCTGTTCAGGGCTTTGAGCTGTACGAGGCTGCCGACAAGTATGGTATCTCTGCCATTGCTGGTATCTGCCCAACGGTCGGCGTGTTTGGCGGGTACTCCACAGGCGGTGGTCATTCACCTCTCATGCAACTGTTCGGTGTGGGATCAGACCAGATCGTCGCTCTCGAGGTCGTGCTTGCCAGTGGCCGGTTTGTTACGGTCACTCCAGAGGTCAACGGTGATCTGTATTGGGCTATGCTTGGCGGCGGTGGTGGTACTTTTGGGGTCATTACTTCGGCTGTCGTCAAAGTCCATCGTAAAGTTCCGGTAACCACCTCTTCCTGGACCATCATGACATCCGAGAGCGTTACCGCCGAGAAGTTCTGGGAAGCCTTCAGGTTTTTCTATGACAACATTCCCGTATACAACAGGGCTAAAACGTACTCCTGGTTCCAGGTTATGAAGCTCGCGCCGGGGTCCTACATGTGGCATATGGGTCCTTTCTTCGCTACCGACAAGACGATCGAGGAGTACGAGACTTTGATCAAACCGTTTTACGAGAAGTGCGCTGCCCTCGGTATTGAGCTGAACGCCAATACGACCTACTACGACAGCTTCTATCCGGCGTATCAGGCCACGTTCGGCACGTTAAATTATCACATTGGTGACGCTAGTGGTATTTCGGGTAATCGTTTGGTTACATCAGACAACTGGAAGACGTCCGGGATCCGTGACAAGACCTTCGCCGCCGTCCAGAACGCTGTCGAAAATGACGTGATATTCGCCATGTACCACCAGCGCCCCGCCGATCAAGAAAACAGGAATATCAACTCCGTCAATCCCGCATTCCGGAATGAAGAGAGCCAGATGGTCATCATCAATTCGGTCGCTGAAGAAACCGCTGAAGGATGGCAGGCTACCGTCGAAAAGCTCACAACCCAGGTCATGGCTCCTCTTCGTGAGGTGACGCCCACTGGCGGCGCATATGGAAATGAGGCCGACATCGCCGAGCCCAACTGGCAGCAATCTTTCTGGGGCTCAAATTACCCTAGGCTTCAGCAGATCAAGAAGAAGTATGACCCTGACATGCTCTTCTACGTGCACCACGGGGTTGGTACTGAGGGCTGGGCCATCGATGATAATGGTATCATCGGCGCCGGTGTCCAATCGACGGACGGTCCATTGTGTCGCGTATAGTCGGGCTGTAGCTCTGCTCGTCGATCCTGTAGATAGTGCAATGCGAATGCGATAGCATCAATGGGAGTGTCCTTGATGCGACGTTCCAGGCGCTGACTGTGTACGCGTCACCTGTGCCGCATGGCGCCTACGACGACGCTCCTCGACTCATCTGATGGTGAGGTTCCCGTGTGCCAAGGACTTGATGCGACGAAAGAAAAACGTTGTTTCGAGTTCTCGGCAGTTGTCAGCTGCTTGGGCAGCCGCGGATGAATTTGACAACCGGACTTTGTGGTCAAGAGGGTCCATCATGGCTCTGAGGAGAAGCCGTCGACAAGATTCTATAATTCTCCGTGCTTCACAATGCGATGTGACAAGATAGCGGAAAATGGACCGCGGATTCCGCTCTTTTACGTGTCCGAAGGATTTACCGGTGGGAACTTCTGGGGGGCTGTGCGACACTTATGCTGCAAACGCGGAGTGCGGCCGCGTGCCCGCCCTTTAGCCCTGTCACCTGGTAGACGCTCTTCTAGAAGGTCGAAAGCGGAGGGAAAGTCGATGCGACATGCATAACCATGTCTCGTCGCACGTCCGCACCTATGAGGAGTCGAGACGTGCAGGGAGCCTTGCGGGCGTGTTGCAAGTCATGGTGAGGGCCAGAGTGTCAGGAAAGTGTGTCGGCAGAACATCAGGGCAGGTCTACCCGATTACTCAACCGCGTTCAGTCTGTCACCGCGACAGGCAACGGGACGTAAAACAAACTGAGATCTCGTCCTCCGCCATGGCTTTCTTTCCCACGCCTCCGTCTTGCGATCGTCAGCTGCTTATTGTCCCCATCTGCACCCAAATCTTCGGAAGCCTCAGTATCCGACGCGGAATCCTCAACATTCCCCTCCAGCATGTGCCCCTTCAGTAAGCTTGGCACCTATATCGCTCCGTGATATCGCTAATGTCAAAAGCTTCATTGCCCGCTGGCGAAGGTCCAGCTCGCTTCTCTCCAAGTGCTGTTAAAGACTGGCAGCCTAGGCGGAAGTCTGTCTCCAACGCCTGCGAGCGATGCCGACGCAGGAAGATTCGATGCGACGGCGAGACGCCTTGCTCGACGTGTAAACGTTTTGCAATACAATGCGTGAGAACACAAAAACCAAAAGAAGTTGTTGCTTCGTGAGTGCCCGCACCCGTGAAGACGCGTCGTCGCGTGGTCACATGATGTCGTGTTCTGATTAAGATGAAGTGAACATCGAGAAGCGCTAGAAGGACGAATACACCAGCTCGAGGCACAGCTAGCCAGGCATGTCAATGCGCCCATGCACGGTATGGAATCTATCGACCAGAACCTTATGGCTAGTACACCCACATCGTTCGACTGGCAAGGACCCTCGCCCCACCTCAACCTCGACACCACCATACCGGCTACCTTCACAGCCGATGACCTGGATCTCGGTTCCTTCTCGGCTAGGAGCGGCAGCATGCCCTCTATCGCTATAGATGAATGTGAGCCTTTCCCCAACTTCTCCACGCCGTCTTCACCAGTACCTTCATTATGGTTAGGTACCACGCGTGCCTCGTCACCCGATTCCATGCCACCCGGGTCCGCGCTGCCGCAATTCGGTGCGACATATCCATCGATGAGTAAACCCATGCCGTCGTCGATCGAACCGCATACGGCGCCTTCCTGGGAGTTCATGGCTCAAGCAAGTAGCAGTCAGTTACAACCGGGTACTACCAGCAGTCGGGCCCACTCTCGCAAGACTTCGACCTCGTCCCAGTCTCAGGCTAGCAACGAGCAAGCCATGTCGCCGATCCCGGAAGTTGAAGATGACATCCTTCCGTTGGCGCCAGCACCGCGATTGCCTCGCCAAGGCATATTCGCAGCCCGCCATACTGAAAGTCCTGGCCCAGCTTCATCACGATCAAGCTTCACCGATCGCAGTCGCGCAATTGTTACTACGCCAATTCCTAGTCGCTTCGAAGCGGAGACCCTGACCACTGAATTCGTACAACACATCGAGTCCTTGGACTACCAAGCTTACTCCATCTCTCCTGGTCTCTTTTCTCGGTTCTGCGAATCTGTCTACCCAAACACTCAGCGACCTGCAGTTGAAATCTCCGCATCTATGTCGATGGCGCGCTTCCATGTCTTCCTTGCCATGGCCGTTGCGATGAAGGTGAGAATCAAGGATTCGCCGGAGAACACGAATGCTCTCCTCGATACTTGCTACGAGCTTGCTATGCAGCAAGCTTCATCGTCCACATTCTGGCAAGAGACAGGTGGGATGGAAGCTGCTCAACTTTTGGCGCTTTTTGCTTCGCTCCGCAAACCTTCCAACGAAGAGCCTCGTGGCCTTCAACACTCGTTCTCCTGGTGACGAGAACTTTCCTTGATTTGCTTTGTTCCGTTACGATTGTATGCCACTGCTTTCCTTCTGTTTGTTTCTGACATTCTTCAAAAGTGCAATCATTCATATATCATGTACATAAATAGCAATGTTTACGAACGAAGCTTTTTTTGCGAGCGCAATAGATACCATTCGATCCATTGAAACGTGCGACGAAGTTGTACCCTTTGCCTCGTGTAAAACGATTAGGAATAAGTGAGTTTCCAGGATTTGGCAGAAAATCCCAACTACGGCCATATTGGGTGTGCAACCAGCTGCTCCGGCATCGAGAAGTGGCACGAGCCGAGACGCGACCCATTGACTTCACGCCCGTCGAGACTTGTCCGATGGATTTGAAGATTTTATCACTTACCAATCATGTCAATGCGCACGTGTGCGCAATGTCAGTATTACGAGGACGACGTCATGGATGATTCCTAAGCAATAGCTTGGAAAGAAATGGCTCTCCACATGCATTCGCATATAACCCCTCCATAACGCGCTGAAGCTACCCCTCTTCATGTCACTACTTCGACCCTCCATCTCCTCACAACTCCGACAACTCACACGTCTCCCCGCCCAAACGCGCAAACCTCTCCGATCGCACTTCCACAGCTCACAGCCGTTGCTTCGCATCCTTCCCGAAATGGCCGACGGCGAACCCACCGGACTCAAGGCGGACAAGGGCATCGAGCTGCTCACCTTCGGCACGCCCAATGGATGGAAGGCTAGCATTCTGCTCGAGGAGCTCAAGGAAGCCTACGGAAAGGACTACACATGGCAGAGCATCAACATCTCAAAGAACACACAAAAGGAGCCCTGGTTCACCAAGCTCGGCCCCAATGGACGCATCCCGTAAGCAATGCCACCCCACGAAATACTTGTGAGACGCGTGCTGACCTTGCATGCCAACAAATAGTGTAATCGTCGACCACGACCAGGGTGGCTTCGCTGTCCAAGAAGGTCTCGCAATCCTCACATACCTCACGCGCCACTATGACCCCGAACACAAGTTCAGCTTCAGCGACCCTCTCGACGTCTCGCGCGCAGAACAATGGATGGCATGGCAACACGGCGGCCTCGGCCCCATGCAAGGCCAGGCCAACCACTTCAACCGCTTTGCCAAGGAGCGCATTCCCTACGCCATGCAGCGTTACACAGGCGAGACCGAACGTCTGGTCGGCATCCTCGACTCGCACCTCGCCAACACCGACTATCTCGTGGGCAACAAGTTCAGCATCGCCGACATTGCCAGCTTTGGCTGGGCCCACATGCTACGCTTCTCCGGCATTGATCTCGATTCATTCCCGAACGTGAAGAAGTGGTTGGAGCGCATACAGGCACGACCTGCAGTCCAGCGCGGCTTGAACATCCCAAGCAAGAGCGGCTTCGGAAACGACACGTACTTGCAGAAGTTGAAGGATGACAAGGAGTTTGCGGAGAAGGAGAACAAGCTCATGGAGCAGATCAAGGCCGCCAAAGAGCAGTATGGTTACAAGTACTCCAGTCCTTAGACATTCTTATGTCTTTGGTGTGCTGGATAAATGTGTGTGAGCGTAGTGCAAACCGTGGGTGATTAATGCCCCGCGAATGAAACAATATTACTCTTCATACAGATACCGTACATGTGCCACCACATAGACGTCTTGAAATACACATCTTCCAGGCGCTGAAACTGTCAACCTATCACACAGCCCAATGTTGCTCGTCACACGCCATTTCCTGCGACAGCAAAGTTACCTCGGACTTCACGGTAAGTTTCATGATGCAGGTGCTGGAGTGTTGCCAGCGAATCACATTGTGAAACATCCCTGTTCTGGAAGCAATGCTACTCGAGGTCCACTACGTCAGCGTCGGCGCCTCAAACAGGGTCACCAGAACCACACGTTCACAACGCGCTGGACGTGTGGTCAGGCGCCAACGCATGGGTTGGCGCTTTCGATGCCACGAAGTACTTCACGGTCTGCTTTAAGAGAGAGGCGATGGAGAGTCGAATTATGCGTCTCCAGCGTTGCATCTTGTTCGACCCACGTCTCATTCTCATCACCGCCGGCTTTGACAGTCGCGGGACAGTCCCTTCGTACTTCCATTCTATCGCGTCTTGCCTATCTATCGTTCCAGTAGCGTCTATACCCCTTTTATCGTATATCTTCCAAATAGCCTTGCTGTCACACCTTCTCTTTGCCGATCCTTCCCAATTCGCACAGAAAGAGCGCGTGCACAAATTTAATTAATCCCTGGAAGCCACATCCCACCCCAGGATCAACCCCCGACGTCATCGCGCTTGGAAGGAAGAGGAAACGGTGACATTGTCAAGACCCTGAAGTTCCCAGGGTCCAAAAGAAACCTTGTGTGCCAACGAGGTTTAGCACGCCCAAGTTACAGCGCAGCGGTGTTGTTTCGGTCACAGTACGAGAGACGACTTTTGTCTAATCACTGCGGCTCACAACTATTTCTTCTTCCCCGCTCTATCCATTGCGACTACTCCAACGACCGAGAGCCTCTGCGAACCACCGAAAGACGAAGAGAGACATCCGCGCACGACGTTTAAATCAACAGACTCTACAAAGTCGCGCATCGCATCTACAATAGGTAAGACACTGTCTACCTGTCTCACACCACACAAACATATAGACCAATTCC